TTGTAAAATGACATTACTGTCCCTCATATTCCAGATTCACATTTGCTCTGTCATTACGATTTATAACCTCAGCGGCGACTATTAACAACCTAATGAGAGGGCGTTAACAACCCTAGCAGTATCCGTTAACAACTTACTTTATAGAATTATATAACCTCTACATAAGAGTAAATTATAACCAAATAATATAATACAACAACTTTAACACTAAAATGGGAAGCTTTTTGATATCATTAAGAATTTTAACTAGATCCAATAGGATTATAGTAATATTTTAATGCGAAGATCCATTTACAACCTCAACAGTGACTATTAACAACCGAATGAGAAGGCATTAACAACCTAAGCAGTATCAGTTAACAACTTACTTTATAGAATATATAACCTCCGCATAAGAGTAAATTATAACCAAATAATATAATACAACAACTTTAATACTAAAATGGGAAGCTTTTTGATATCATTAACAATTTTAACTAAACCCAATAGGATTATAGCAACATTTTAATGCGAAGATCCATTTACAACCTCAATGGTGAGTATTAATAACCCAAAGAGAGCTGTTGACAATCTAGGCAGTATCTATTAACAATTGACTTTATAGGATAATATAACCTCTAACAACTATATAAGATTAACTTTAAGACTATTTAGTTATAGTTTAGTTAGTTATAGTTAGAAGTTAAATTATCCGATAAAGTTAATTGTTAACAGACACTGCTAAGGTTGTTAACAATTCTCCTTAGGTTATTAATACTTACTGTTGAGGTTGTAAATGGATTTTCGCATTAAAATATTGCTATAATCCTATTGGGTTTGGTTAAAATTCTTAATGATATCAAAAAGCTTCCCATTTTAGTGTTAAAGTTGTTGTATTATACTATTTGGTTATAATTTACTCTTACGCGGAGGTTATATAATTCTATAAAGTAAGTTGTTAACGGATACTGCTTAAGTTGTTAATGCCTTCTCATTCGGTTGTTAATAGTCGCTATTGAGGTTGTAAATGGATCTTCGCATTAAAATATTACTATAATCATATTGGATTTAGTTAAAATTCTTAATGATATCAAAAAGCTTCCCATTTTAGTGTTAAAGTTGTTGTATTATACTATTTGGTCATAATTTACTCTTATGCGGAGGTTATATAATTCTATAAAGTAAGTTGTTAACGGCTACTGTTTAGGTTGTTAATGCCCTCTCATTCGGTTGTTAATAATCGCTGTTGAGATTGTAAATGGATATTCGCATTAAAATATTACTATAATTCTATTGGATCTAGTTAAAATTCTTAATGATATCAAAAAGCTTCCCATTTTAGTGTTAAAGTTGTTGTATTATATTATTTGGTTATAATTTACTCTTATGCAGAGGTTATATAATTTTATAAAGTAAGTTGTTAACGGATACTGCTTAGGTTGTTAATGCCTTCTCATTCGGTTGTTAATAGTCCCTCTTGAGGTTGTAAATGAATCTTCACATTAAAATATTACTATAATCCTATTGGGTTTAGTTAAAATTCTTAATGATATCAAAAAGCTTCCCATTTTAGTGTTAAAGTTGTTGTATTATACTATTTGGTTATAATTTACTCTTATGAGGAGGTTATATAATTCTATAAAGTAAGTTGTTAACTGATACTGTTAGGGTTGTTAACGCCCTCTCATTCGGTTGTTAATAGTCACTGTTGAGGTTGTAAATGGATCTTCGCATTAAAATATTACTATAATCCTATTGGATCTAGTTAAAATTCTTAATGATATCAAAAGGCTTCCCATTTTAGTGTTAAAGTTGTTGTATTATATTATTTGGTTATAATTTACTCTTATGTAAAGGTTATGTAATTCTATAAAGTAAGTTGTTAACGGATACTGCTAGGGTTGTTAACGCCCCCTCATTAGGTTGTTAATAGTCGCTGCTGAGGTTGTAAATCGTAATGACAGAGCAAATGTGAATCTGGAATATGAGGGGCAGTAATGTCATTTTACAAAACGAAAATATTACTCTGAGGTCCCTTGGGACCTGTCAGTGATTTTGACATTTCGTGGGACCTCAGAGTAATAAATTGCCTTCTGTGGGACTTGTTAGTGATTTTCCCTATTTTAAAGTTAGAATGGATATTCTTTGATTTTAAGAAAATCTCAACTCCTTTCTAAATCATTAATCTGCCTGTAAATAACCCAGTAGACCATTCTACAGTTAAAACGGGTATGAAAATGAATGTAATAAAGTGCCAAAGAACCTTTAGTTTTGTACATCCACATAAATCCAATAAAAGAGGAAGACAATAAAAACACGCCCACAAAGAGAGCAGTAACAGCTTGCTTTCAGGCTTGTAGTGTATCACCTGCTATGTTTGCTAAAGGCCCCAGGCCAATAATGTCTCCAGTCTGAAATATAAACCTAAAGCCTTTAGGATGATTTTTTATAATAATTTATTACCTCCTCTCCTGTTATAAATATAAAAGCTAATTGGAGATTCAATTTCATCTTACTTTAATCATTTGTCTCTCAAATTTTTTTACATTTTGTTTCCCAAAGTAGTCCCCATGGTAATTATGCATGTTAAAAGTTTTCTATTCTAATATATATGATTGATAATGATAATAAGGGTATTTTAGAAAAAACAATATTCATTTATTACAAATAACTAACTTAACTAATTCTCTTAATATTTACAAATTAGTTATTTAGGTTTTATATTAGAGATGGGATTAAATAATGTAATGTAAATCGGAGAAACAATAAATAGAGACAGCCGGAGTCCCTGATGGAGAGTGAGAGAGTGAGCGAAGGGAGGCAATAGGCGACGTCAAACCCGACGCAGGAAGAGACCGATGCTTTGGCCCCTAGCCAGAAAAAGGTTCGCATAGGTACTAATGACCAACCTATTTCAGTATTTCTGGTAGACCGGTGGTACAACGGGAGGAGGAATGGATGAACGAGGACGTACCACTGCTGAATAAATCGTACAAAGAAGCCTGCTCCAATGAACAGGCAGCCAACACTGATGGTGAAGTAGAGAGCGACTGGTGGAAAGGGGAGGGATGGAAGGATAAGGTAAGGGTGGAGCTCACAGATGCAGGCCCTAACATTGTGATCTTGCCTAAGTTTAGGCGGTAGTTGGCAAAAAAATGGCAAACTACATTGATTGTGAGACTACTGGGAAGGATGATTCGGGAGGATCATTTGGGGGCTAGATTACAAAAGCTACAGGGGCGTCATGGGGAGGTCGAGACGATTGAAATAGGGTCTGGCTATTTCTTCGCCAAGTTGAGTAGTAAGGAGGACTATGAGTTGGCTCTTTTAGGAGGTCCCTGGATGGTGTTCGATCATTACTTGGCTATACAGCCATGGAAACCCGACTTTGATCCGGACGATGAGATAGTAACCAAGATCGTGGCCTGGATACGTATTCCGAAGCTCCCCCTCGATTACTATGACGAGGGTATACTACACATTGTGGGCAATCAGATTGGCAAAGTGGTAAAGATGGATTCAAATACTATTCTCTGTTTGAAAGGCCGTTTTACCCGGATATGCGTGGAGCTTGATCTAAACTCTACACTCCTCCCATCTATTTGGATAAATGGTAAAGAGAAAAAGATAGTGTACGAGGGCCTTCATCTGATATACTTCTCATGCGGCAAATATGGTCATGATAAGGACCACTATCCTAGTGGGAAGGGGGAGAAGATAGGGACTGAGTCGGGCATCCTCGAGAAAGGCATGCCTGTTGCTACGTCAACTTCTCATATGAGGGGGGCTGGTGAGAAGGGGGAGAGATTCGGAGAATGGATGGTTGTGCCAGGACGAAGACGGAATCAGCGTAAGACGCTGGCAACAACAGAGACCCGAGCGCAAGATAGTAGGCATGATACTCGGAGAATCTCTAATCACGCTAACAATGGGTCGAGATTCTCAGTGCTGGATGAACAGGATACCGAGCCTTTTAATGCCGAAGATCATGCGATGTATTATATGATCCTCCCCATGAGAAAAGGAATATTCCCCAATCTAGTAGTGCTGATGCTAGGACACACATGCAGGGGCCGACTAAGAAGACAGATAAGGTCGAGTAACGTACTGGGCCAGGACATGATGAAATGGGCCGTAATAGAAATACCGTGAGCCCTATGGATGCCTATCTGAATGTCAAAAGAAGGGCCTCTCTCCAAGGCTCCCACACCAAGGGCCCACTTGGCTCTTCCTCAACTCATTATGACGTGATGGTGATAGACGTTAAGGAAGACTCTATGCATGCGCCGACCATTACGTCGGTCTCAATCATGTGAAGTGACCACCCTCGCACATCCCCTCCTAACACGAACAACCCTATCGACCTGGGTGCTCAGAGGCAGAAATTTGTGATACACTCGAACCCCTTACTGGGAAACGTTGATGATGATATGGTCACTGTAGATGAGGTCTCAACGGAGACTAGGTTACTGTAGGTATGTCCATTCGGTTGCCTTCCAAATCCTTATTTAATCAATTTTATCATGAATCTTATTGCATGGAACATTCGCGGTGTGGGGGGGTCAGCCTTTAGCAGACTACTGTGTGACTTATAGACCCGACATTACTTGGGTCTTCTTGCTGTACTTGAACCTAGACAGAAAGGGGAGAAAGCAGAGATGATTGCTCATAAGTTAGGGTGGAAGGATTACTTCGTGGTTGAAACCCATGACTTTAATGGAGGTATATGGCTGTTTTGGCATGAGGCGTGTAAATTTTAGGTTCTGTGTTCAAGTGACCAATTTATGCATGGGGTGATGAACCATGGGGAAAGCAATGAATGGTATCTCACGATTGTCTACGATCATCCTAACCCGTTGCTTTGTCGGGAACTTTGGAATCATTTGAATGCTCTATGTGACTCCTTCGTCAGAAGATGGACTGTAATGGGCGACTTCAATGCAGTGACGTGCATAGAAGACCGCATCTCGCAAAGTGCACAAAATGGTATTGGTGTGGACGTAGATTTTAGGTGATGGGTAATGGATAACAACATGATAGATATTGGCTTCGTGGGGCCACGGTTTACTTGGAGTAGAGGAGGAAGTCAAAGTAGAATTGATCGGGTTTTTATTAACGGACCTTGGCATGAGGAGTTTACAAATGATACCATTACTCATCTACCTAAATACAAATCAGATCACTGCCCCATTCTTTTAAAGCCGTCACAGGTAGACGTGGCACGGCACATGAATAGACCCTTCAGATTTTTGGCCTCGTGGGTGATGCATGCTGAGTTCTCAGAGTTTGTCAAGACACATTGGCACATGTATATGGACTAGAACTCTACAGTTTCATCTTTCACCAAAATTTGCGGAAGTGAAACCGAGAAGTTTTCGGGAACATCCAATATAGGAAGGGCAAGATTTACAGGAAGTTGGAATGCTTGGAGAGTAAAATTACTAAAGCGGGTCTGAATGCGAGGTTGGAAGAGATCAGAAAAGACTTATGGCACCAGCTGGAGGAAATCCTAAACCAGGAACAAGTCATGTGGCTTCAGTTATCAAGATGTAAGTGGTACACCCATAGTGATCGTAATACCAAGTATTTTCATTCGATGGCAAATAGTCAACGTCGCCATAATAGGATCGGAGCTTTAAGACTTGATAGTGGCGTTTGGGTATATGACACACAGGAAATCATGAGCTTGGGTAGTAAGTTCTTTCAAAATCTTTATTCCGAGGAGGGATCCAGTGTGAAGCAGTTACACTTTGATTATAGCTACCCTACCTTGGACAGCGGCTGTTTGGAGTCTTTTAAGCGTGTTCTGTTTGATATGGGGTCCTTAAAGGCGCCGGGACTGGATGGGTTAAACCCACTATTTTATCAAAGTCAATGGGATACTGTTAAGGATTCAATTGTGGACCAGGTGAACCTTGTCTTTCAGAACCTTGCAAGCATGAGGTATATCAATGGAACTCAGATTGTACTCATCCCCAAGGGAGACCACCCGCAGACTATCAAAGACTTTCGCCCTATTAGCCTCTACAACATTATATATAAAGTCATTACTAAGTTGATCTCTAATAGATTTAGGGACATTATGCCACGAGTGATCTCCCCGAACCAATGTAGCTTTGTAAAAGGACGACAAAGCACCGATAATATTATTCTCTCTCAAGAGATAATCCATTCTATGTGAAGCTCAAAGAAGAAGCAGGGTTTTATGGCTGTTAAAATCGACCTCAAAAAGGCTTACGACCAAGTTTATTGGGAGTTTATGTTTGATTGCTTGAGGGAACTAGGAATCCTACAATGCTACAGGATGTAATCGAAGCTTGTGTCTCTTCCCCATCTATGCAGCTTATGTGGAATGGTGAACGTGGCGTGGAATTTCATCCTTCTAGGGGTGTCCGACAAGGGGATCCCTTGTCACCGTATTTGTTTGTCATTGCCATTGAACGCCTGGCACATCTAATATAACATGCTGTTGACACCGGGGATTGGTGACCCTTCAGGCTAAACAAAAAAGGTACTGCCATTTCCCGCTTATTTTTTACTGATGACCTTATTTTATTTGTTGAGGCCGACATGGAGCAAGCAGGTACCATGAAGGCCATCCTGGATGATTATTGTGCAATTTCGGGGCAGAAAGTGAATGCCAACAAAACCCGTGTGTTTTTTTCTCCGAACTTCAATCACACTAGAGTAAAGGAAATAAGTGATTTTATGGGCTTCACTCCCACCCTTGACCTCAGTAAATATCTTGGCATGCCTGTTATTCACCAAAGGGTTACCAAGGGGTCATATAAGGCGACCCTGAACAAGATGGATAGCAGACTATCCTCGTGGAAAGCAAATAGTCTATCACTGGCCGCTAGAACCACCTTGGTTTCTTCAGTCCTCGCGGCTATGCCCTCTTATGCGATGCAAACTGTTCCCCTCCCGAAAGATACATGTGATAGGATTGATAAGAAGTGTAGAAACTTCCTATAGGGTAGTACTAGCTTGAGCCGTAAGATTCACTTGGTATCTTGGGACAACGTATGCTAACGATGGAGGGCTTGGACTACAGCAGGCCAGGCATCAAAATAACGCCTTGATGATGAAGCTAGGTTGGTCATTAATCAAGCATAGAGACCTACTGTGGGTCAAGTTCCTACGTGAGAAGTACAAGTGTGGGGCCGATACTATCCCTAAAGTTGAACGTCGCAAGGTGGCGTCTAGGACTTGGTCTGGTATCCAAGCAAACTGGGAAAGAGTGAAGGAGGGGCTGGCTTGGTGGATTGGTGATGGCCGATCAGTATCTTTTTCGAAGGACACCTGGGTTCCCCATCTGGGGAAGCTTGAGGACTTGGCACCGGAGATACCCACCAACACTGCGGATTGGAAAGTGAGTGACTGTGTGTCTGCGACGGGGTCCTAAGATTGGAACGTTCTCAAAGATCTACTCCCACATCATGTTGTGGAAGCTATCTCTTGTGTGCACCTTTATGGCAATAGGGAGGATAGCCCAGTTTGGCGTTGGTCTCTAAATAGGTCCTTTTCAGTTAAGTCAGCCTACGACCATATCAATAGGCGTAGTGAATCTTCTCATCATCGTATTTGGCGTACGTTGTGGAGGGTCAAAATCCCACAGTGTTACCGCTCCTTTATGTGGCTATGTGTTAACGACCGCCTTCTCACGAACGAAGCCAGGCTTAAACATGGACTTCATGACACTGGAGTATGTGGCATCTATGGCCTTGCCCCAGAATCTATGTTGCACGCTCTTAGAGACTGCTAGGTTTCAAAGCATTTATGGTGCTTGTTTATCCCACACAACATGCAGTCATCCTTCTTCGTAGTCGGCAATTCCTTGGAGTGGTTAACCAGGAATCTCATGTCTTCGCTAAGAATCTACAGACACAAGTGGAGCTGGTGGTTTGCTGTGTTATGCAAACGCCTCTGGCTCACTCAAAATGATCGCACTTTCAATGGAATCTCCGCATCTTGTATTGACATCATCGAACGTTCTAGATGTGTTCTCTCTTGGGGAATGGTCGATCTGGATGCTTGCAAGAGGCCCGAGGAAGGTGGGGTTTGATAGGTTCCTCCCGCAAGTGGCACCTTGAAGTTCAACATGGATGGGTCCTTCAATGCTACCTTTGGTACCTGCTCATGTGGGGGCCTTGCCCGAGATAACACTGGGAGATTTGTCCACGGCTTCATGTATAAGTTCAAGATCGGCTCTTGTCTCTCAACAGAGGCATAGGGGGTTCTCTGGGCCCTCAAACTAGCTTGGGAGTGGGGCTGGCGCTTCCTCACTATAAAATAACTAACTTAACTAATTCTCTTAATATTTACAAATTAGTTATTTAGGTTTTATATTAGAGATGTGATTAAATAATGTAATGTAAATTGGAGAAACAATAAATATCAAAGACTACTTTCGACCCTTAATATAAAAGTTAGTTGATTAATTTGAGGAGATTAATTAATGTTGTTAAGTTAATTATTTGTAATAAATAGATGTTATCTGTTGGCAAAAAAAAACATAAATAGGTGTTATCTTTACTAAAAGACTTTTGCGAATTATATGTATTAATAGAAGTATCATTTGATAGAATTTTTAACATGTACAACTACTATAGGGACTATTTTAAGAAATGGATAAATATTATGAACAAAATAAATTTAGATCTTATATTTAAAACTAAATTAAATACCAAACTAAGTCTTAATACTCCTTCGATCCTAAATATAAGAACTATTTTATAGTATAATTATCTTATATCTAGGATTAGAGTAGTATTAATTAGCGTTAGCATGCAGGATTGTAGGTTAGCCCTTGCAAAAATAGATCTCATCTATTTGGAAAAAAGACCATACAGTTTCCCAATATTTCCACTCGTGTCAGCTAAGCTTAAATTCTAAACCGCTGTTTTGACGGAGAAGCTGTGAATTAGGGTTACGCTTCGGGGTTTAGGGAGAGAGGGAGAGGAGAGAGAGGTGCTGCCGGCGTAGCTGATACCGCGGCTCGGTCAAGATGGGTATGATTCGTTTTTATCTTCAAGTGTCAAACTTCTATTGGAATTGTTCAATTCTTCTCAGTGGTGACAATCTGTGTTTGGATATTTCTCTCATGGGTGTCTTTTTCCACCTCAGGTATTTCCAGGGATTCCATGCACAAGAGGCGTGCCACCGGTGGCAAGAAGAAGGCTTGGAGGAAGAAGAGAAAGTATGTTTACTATCTGGCGTGTGTGCGCGCGCGTTTGCGTGTGCATTATTCTAAATTGAATTTTCCCCTTCGTTACTGTTTGCTTATACATTAACCTACTTTATCCTCGATTTTATGTTTCTGTTCTGTTTATGTGTCTTTTGTTATTCACATTTATTAATTCCGTCATTTACAAAGTTTAATCTTCAACCTAAATCAGTTAGTTAAGCATTTGCAAGATGTACAAATAGATCCTAAATGAATCAGCATCAGAGTTTCTCCATTGGTCTTCTAATTCTCCGTACACTCTCCCACATTTTCTGTTTCCCAGCAGTTTCGGTTTTGCAAATATTGAATTTTATTTATGCTCGTGTGATAAACAGAAGCTTATGAGCTTCCTTTATTTTTCCTATTAACTAAATATGAGAAAAGCCTTGTTTCCTTGTTTTTCTGTGATTTGAGATTTTACCATGTATTGTGATGACTACACGCTGTGTCCAATCTTGTAGATCTTTAATTGGAATTTTGACTGTTATGGACTACATTTTCATGGTGATGTTCACATTACGTCATAAGGTATCTTTCTGCTCAGACAATATTTGTGTGTTGACATAGGTATGAGCTTGGTCGACAGCCTGCAAACACTAAGCTGTCAAGTAACAAGACAGTCAGGAGAGTTCGCGTTAGAGGTGGCAATGTGAAATGGAGGGCTTTGCGATTGGATACAGGAAATTATTCATGGGGCAGTGAAGCCGTGACTCGCAAAACACGTATCTTGGATGTGGTTTACAATGCCTCAAACAATGAGCTTGTGCGAACTCAAACCCTTGTGAAGAGTGCCATTGTTCAGGTTGATGCTGCTCCGTTCAAGCAGTGGTACCTTCAGCATTATGGCGTCGATCTTAGTAAGAAGAAGAAAGCAGCTGCCAAGAAGGATTCTACAGAGGTAATGTTGTTACTAATGATAAAAAGACTTTCATCTTTTCTCCTGTGATATTTCACTCAATCCATGATTATAGCTCAGTGAGTCTTTTAAGTGAGTGTGGGGTGCACAAAATGCTGGTGTAGGATGGTTTAGAAGCCGTACTAACCCATGACACCCCCATTTTTCAAAGCACTCTTGCGATTGTTTTGGTTTGTCTTAAAATTTTACATTTCTAATTTTCTTCTCTATGGGTTTTAAAAGGGATAACATCACAAGGATATTATAGGAATCTTGCTCTTCTCGCCCACCTCATCTATTAATGACATTGTGACATTCAATGGGGTAGCATGATTAGCATTCATTTTATTTCAATAAGTTTGAATCTCTGAAGTGGAGTGTCTCTCTCACCCACCATTTCATTTGGCTCCCTTAATGGCTATGCCATGCAACTCTTTCCTAAGCTCCCAATTAAATTCTAAGCGATATAATCCAATATGAAATATAGATGTGTGTGTGTGTGTGTGTGTAAGCCATGTGCTGCAATGAAATTGTTTTCTTTATGCATGAAGTATAATTTTAAAGTTCACTCGTGTCATGAGTAGTCTGTTTATTTACCCTTCATCTTGTAGGAGGGTGAAGCAGCTGCAGCTGCTGCTGCTGAAGAGACAAGGAAAAGTAAACATGTGCTTAGGAAACTAGAGAAGCGGCAGAAAGATCGAAAGCTTGATCCCCACATTGAAGAGCAATTTGGTGGAGGCCGATTGTTGGCTTGCATCTCTTCTCGACCTGGTCAATGTGGCAGAGCTGATGGGTATGCTTAGTCATATCTTTGTATCAGAATCTTTGTACATGATTTACGTTTACAAATATTGATGTTTCATTTTCCTGAATTTGTAGCTACATATTGGAAGGCAAGGAGTTGGAGTTTTACATGAAGAAACTCCAGAAGAAGAAGGGAAAGAGTGCTGGTGCTGCTTGAATGTAGTGTTATTCCAATTTTGTTCTTCTTCCTATTATATAGTAGACTTTATTGAATTTTTGATGAATTGCACCTTTCAAGGTGTTTTTTCTAGAATGTTCCCTCCCAAGACAGATCTTTAGTGAGAACAAAATTTTTTTAAACGGTACTCTCAACTTCTTGGTAATGGTTGTTTTTTTTTTCCCTCTGGTCTCGAAACTCGTTGGTGATTGTTGAGCAATGGGTGTTTATGGATAGCTGATGGTCTGTTTGGCTGTTAGTGTTAAAGCTTAATGAATGAGAATGATGTTTCCATTTTAGTATGATGTGTAGCGTCTCTCGTAATTTTTTCCCTCGAAGTAATTTATTTATCTTAATAAATGTATATATAATCTAATATTATGCATTGGTATTTTAATTAGGTCATGCTACAATGTTATAATTAACTAATTTATCTCATTTAATTTCCTTAAATTAGGTAAGTTATTCTTATATTAAGAATCAAAAGAAAGATTTTACTTTTCTATCCCACTCATCTCTTTCGATTGCCTCGTGATATTTAGCTCCTTGGTCACCATATAAGGATCTCCACTCTCCTGGATGTTCCTGGGTTCTTACAGACGTGATCAGAGTAGATAGGAAGCTGATCATTGTTAAGGATATTAATCGGTTTTATTAGTTATTTCATGACTACTAGGGCTCCTCTGCTTTTTGACCAATGCATGAAAATGAGGCTGGACAGCTGGTAGATGGGATAGTCATAGTTATCATGTAATTTCTATTTTGGGGATGGGAATTGATCACTTTGTGAGGACAATAATAACAGTAGTTCACTTCACTCGATTGTCCTCAACCATTCATTATTCAGACGTTTTTGCCCTTCATTTTAAAGCATCATAGTAGTAGTTCTATGGACAGGTTAGCATGCGCCACATAACATCATATCCAACAACAAAATTTCTCTTAGTTGACACATTTACAGGCAAAAATAGTCTCTGTTAATTTTCCAAATTATGCTATATTTATTTTTAAAAGAAAACTACTCTGTCTTTGAACCGTTCGGGAAAAAACACATGGCCTCAATTAACATAAAGTGTTTTAAACATTTCAACTATTAGAACAAATATTTCACCCGAACTTGCCACTCTTTATAGTTAATGGTCAACATCATTGACCACTAATACAAGGGCAACATTGGCAACATAATTACTCTCACAAATAGTTTAAAATAATCAGTGCTCCTCATAAACAATGTCAGGAACATCATGATTTTTAATCTAAGACATTCAAAGCTCCACTGTTCTGCTTACAAATTCAACTTAAGCCACATGAAAATGAGGGGAAAAAAATAATGTTACAAATAGTATAAACTAATAAATAAATATTGCCTTTATAGTTCAGGCGAGTAACAATGTATACACTAATCATGGGTCCGAAATATGAACCCATTTGTTTGTAGTTCTCAATGATTTTCCCATCATCTGTAAAATTCAACACAACAAGGATACAAGTCGAGGCGGGTAACTTGGCAACAACAAAGACCGAAGTCCTTGCAACCAAAAATTAACGAGAAAACCAAGTTTGTGCCAAGATGCAAGCGGTTGACTTAACTGAGAGCCAAAACCTATAGAAATAAATAGCTTTGGCTGAAATCACTGTGTCCAAAAGGGAATGAGATTTGGCCATTATGACCTTCATTCATAACCCCATAGGATATGCTTTGAATCCACACAAAAAATCCAAGTCTGGACGTCAACTGACTTGCTCTCCAATCAAATCAAGACCAATAACTAGAAAACTTATTCCTTGAAATAACAGGAAGTAGAAGTGAATTCCTTGAGCTGATAATAAGCTTCTAACTGAGGCAGTTAATAATATGAATGCAAGAGCAAGTTCTTTCCTGTACAAACGATTTTTCTTAGTTTTCCCTGTTTTCTTTGACAATTCTAGTTTGCTTAGCTCCTCAATGCCTGAATCTGAAGATGATCTGTGAAGACTGGCAGATCTCATTAGAGGCTGAGCTTCCTTCTCAAAAGCAACCAGATCTGTCTCTGATGATCTTCCCAATTTTTTCGTAACCACCCACTCATAAGAACTTCCAAAGCGAAATAATCCCGATATCATAGCATTAAATTTAGTCACTGACATGGTATTCTCAAATAGGAGATAAGGCACTATAAATGGAAATGCATGGAGACATGGAAGAATGCTTAGGATAGACATGACTCCAGGAACGTAACAAACAACCCAGGTCGGCAGCTCAGCTTCTGGAAGGAACATGGTCAATGGAAGAATGATGCAAAAGAGGGTGAATGAATAAAATGGCAGGATTAGCTTCCTTAGGAGAAAGAAAAGGAATATTAGGTTGGCCTTCTTGACCCAACTAACCTGGTACCAAAAGGAAGCAACCATGGTAAGGGATTAGATTCTTCTTAAAGTCAAATTACATTTGGAAGAAGACGGATGGAATCAAACAGGTAGCATTACATGATGCCAGGTTTATAACTGTGCAAATGATGATATTGATTTAACGGAACATAACAAGCAACATGCGGAAGCCTAAAGAACAAAAACAATTATGACTTTGATGCCTTGTTGAACTTCAATCACGACAACATAAAAACACGCTAATTTCTATACAATAAATGATACATGCAGATAAATATGAATAATTGATTCATCATCTCAACAAATTCTTCTCTGTCCTTCCTCGCATTACTACCACCCCAGTAAAACCGGAAATTCAAGAAAAACAGAAATGGTTGAATGCTTAGGGAATAAATTATCCGAGTCTATTAGGATTTTTGCAAGTGGGGTACTCAATGCTGATAATATGTTACCACTCACGGCAGGTGTTATTGTGAATTGCCTTCCCATTCTATAACTCTTAAAAGTTGTTTATTCTTTTGTTTTTCTTTTTGCAAAACTTAACGTTGTTTATTCAAGAATTATTTTTTTGATCGATGTTTACTCAAAATCTTGATCAGCAAGATTTGTATGGAAATTATTGTGGGAAAAAAGAAACCTAGAGATTGAGTTTTAGACATGCAATTTTGCTTTCCATAAATTCTTCCAGACTGTGACATTTCCATCAACACCAAATGTTTAACATTGGTGCTTTACAGCTAATTTGCCTCGAGAAGGGAGGCTTTTCCTGTATACTGCTTTAGGATACTAATGGATAAGAAGGGTTGATACTTGATAGAATTCAAATAAATTCTGATAATGAAAAAAATTTCATACCTTTGACCGAAGTATATCAATGAAACACAAACGAAACAATTGCATTGGACCAGAATGCCAGCGGTGTTGCTGTTTCTTATACGCCTCATAGGTCTCAGGAAGTTCACAAAGGCACTGGGAAAAAGCACAATAGAGATATAAAAACCTCAAAATTTCTGATTAGATCTCAAGAGAAGACAAGTAAAGCACCTTCACGTCATTTAGAAAGATGAACTTCCATCCACAGAGATGAGCTCGAACAGCAATATCCATGTCCTCGACAGTAGTTCGTTCCAACCAACCACCACTCTCCTCAAGAGCCTTTATCCTCCAGACACCGGCAGTTCCATTGAAACCAAAAAAGTTAATGAACACACCATTGACCTGTTGTTCAACCTCAAAGTGGAAAGATAAGTTTATGTTCTGCAGTCTTGTAAGCAGGTTCTCATCTTTGTTTACAAATGCCCATCGTGTCTGGACCAATGCCAAATCATCTCTCCCCTAGAGTTAGACAAAAACAGAAAAGAACATCTAGTTAGAATTTAGAAACATTTTTAAGGCCAAGCTCAATCCAAAACAATGGCACTCATCAAGTAATGAGTGGGTGATAACATCGTGCAAAAGCCAAAAACCAGATATAACAATAACATATTGGTCAAACAGCAACTGAAAAAAAATTTTAGGTTCAAACGTATATTCACTTAAATGTCTCAACAATCTTGATATATATTTTATTCTCAGAAAACTCTTTGCCGTCCAAATTCTTTTGAATGTCTTAAGCCAAGAACAAAGAGTCATAAAATAGGATATACATTTCCACAAAAACATAAAAATTTAACATTTGTAATTATTGCAATGGAGTCTTGTTTTTCATGATTTATTAACATATTTAGTGACAAGATTTATAAAGATAAAAATGGTCCCCTGTAGAACAACTTTGGTCTAGCAAGCAAGGGCAGCGGAAGTCCACCATGTGTTGTTGCATTGGCAATCAATAGATGGGAGCAAATCCTGCATTATGTCATGAGTAGGCTTTCCTAGTGACATTGCAGCGGATATTGCGGATTTATCATAAGATCAGAACCAATGTGGACCATAACATGGTACAAATGTTGAGTAGTCTGGAAGGGTAATTTAAAATTAAGAATGAATATTCCTTGATTTTAAGTAAATTTCAACTTCTTTCTAAACCATTAATCTGCCCGCAAATAAGCAAGTAGACCATTCTAAAATTAAAACGGCTACGGAATTGAGTTTAGTAAAGTGCCAGAGAACCTTTAGTCTCTGCATCCAGATAAATCCAAGAAAAGAGGAAGTCAAAACTGCTTACGCTAAAAGATAAAACATACACACACTCTCACAGTTATAACTGCTTTGTTTCATGCTCATAGTATCAACTGCTATATTTGCTCAAGGCCTCAAGCCAATAGTGTCTCAAGTTTGAACTCATCAAATCATAAAATTACCTTAAAATGAGGTATTGTCCTTTTTAAGAAATCTGGCGCTGGCTGAAAATCAGCATCAAATATTGCCACAAACTCATATTCTTTAACATAATCACAATTCATTGCTGATTTGAGATTCCCTGCCTTATAGCCTGTACGTATCAGACGATGTCTATATAGTATTCGCACACCCCTTTGTTGCCATTTCTGTACTTCCGCCATGATAAGCTGTTGGATGTCCACTTCATCAGAATCATCAAGGACCTGCACAAGCATTCTATCCTTTGGCCAATCCAGGATACAAACGGCAGCAATAGATTGCTGATAGACCTATGAGAAAATGTGACAAAAAGTAAGTATTGGCAACAAATAACAGAAGGTAATATAAATCAAGGGTATGCCTTTTAAACTACTAATCTGAGAATCTGAAAACAGTATATATTACGTCTGTTCACTTTTAATCTATTCTCCTTTATATGTATACATGTCATGAAAATTCATTTCAGCAACTCTACCCTCCATCTTTCATCTTCCGTTTCCTCCTTTTTGACCTGACAAAACCTTTTTCACCTTCTCAGAGCCTAGAACACAATGTCCTTTTCTAGATACCAAAAATTTGCATAACTCTTAATTTCCCAGGTTACCAGTCCCCG